GTACTTTGAAAAAAAAAAAATACAGGTATTTCTCCGAACACCGGCTGGGGGGGGGAGGGGGGGCAGGGAAGAGGCAGCTGCTGGTGGCCCTTTGCCCTGCCACCTGGCTCTTGCCTGCCGCCTGGGTTTCCAATAACCGTCAGTGGCAGGCGGCTTCTTCCGTCCTTCCCCTTTCGCCTTCCCAGCATTGCGTCTACGTATGCAAATTAACCGCCATCTTTGTTGGAAGTTAATTTGCATATCGCCCTGATTAGCCAATGGGAAGCGTAGCGAAGGTATGGTCAATTACCATGTTTGTCTATTATTAGATAGGATGAATTGTTCCCAGATTACATTTTGCTAAACTGGATTATATAAGGATAAAATTGATTTTATTTTAGAAACCTTAAAAATCTTTTATATGATAAGGAACACTTTACAAATTTGATACTTTTATAGATGTGTTCTTTTCTCAACAACAGATTTTGATAAATCCCTTCAGGTTCTGAGAAGAAAAGAAAACATTTCTAAATATCTGTCAACTAATATATGTCCTTCATAGGATTTTTTGAGAGTACAGTTCAGCAAACATTTATTGAGTTCTTACTGTGAGTCAGACAGTCTACTAGGTATTGGATATAAGATTCTAACTGAAGACTTTAAAAACATTCAGAGCATCTGTTCTTACTTATAGATAAAGAAACTAGAGGCCTGGTGCATGAAATTTGTGCACTCAGGGAGGGGGGGGTCCTTCAGCCCAGCCTGCGCCCTCTCACAGTCCAGAAGCCCCTTAATTGATTGCCCCACCCACATGCTGCAGCCCACCAGTTGGTGGCCAGGGCCGCCCTCTGTGGGGCGATTGTGGGGCCATAGCGGGGCCTGGTACCAGTGTGTGTCATAGCATGGTTGTCAAGACGGTAATTCTGCTGTTCGGCTGTTCGGTAAATTTGCATATTATACTTTTATTATTATAGATAATGTCAAGGTGATTCATTTATGAGTTATTAATTACCCTATTCTTAAATATGGTATGTACATTCTCTGTTTTCATAATTTAACATTGAGCACTTAAAAATTTTCATAACAGATTAAAATGAATCTGCATGTAGTTAAATAAAACTAGACATCCTAAACAACTCAGTGCTCAAAAACTATGGCATCTGATGAGAATACCTTTCCTTCCCTTGAAGAGCAGCTGTTGACATGACTAGCAGAAACGCAAGGCTCTCTTGTGAGGAGTCACCTGATTTAGCCACATAGCATAGCTGACTAATCTGTATTAAAATCCAACAACTCTGATCCATGTTTGATTTTTGTTTATTTTTGGTTTTGTTACTAATATTTTGCTGTCCCCAAGGGCCAACATCTGCCAAATGATCAGACACAGGTACCCATAAATATGGGATTATTAAGTGATTCTTTCCCTTGTATTACCAGAACATAGTTAATGTCTAGCACATAGAATGCCCTCACCAAATTGATGGAGTGAATGAGTGAATGTATGAATGGTTCATACATTGAAAAAAGAGATAGAAGAAGATATAAACAAGTGGAAGAATATACCGTGTCCATGGATTGGTAGAATTAACATCATTAAAATGTCTATACTCCCTAAAGCAATCTACAGATTCCCTATTAAAATACCAAAGGCATATTTCACAGATCTAGAACAAATACTCCAAAAATTTATATGGAACCAAAAGAGATTCTGAATAGCCACAGCAACTTTGATAAAGAAGAACAAAGTTGGAGGGATCACAATACCAGATATCAAGTTATACCACAAAGTCACTATAATCAAAACAGCCTGGTAATGGCATAAGAACAGGCATATAGATCAATGGAACAGAAATCCCAGAAATAAACCCAAGCCATTAATACTTGACAAAGGAGGCAAGAACATACAAAGGAGTCAAGACAGTCTCTTTGATAAACGGTGTTGGGAAAATTGGACAGATATATGAAAAAAATGAAACCAGACCACCAACTTACACCATACACAAGAATAAACTCAAAATCGATAAAAGACCTAAATGTAAGCTGGGAAACTATAAAAATCCTAGAAGAAACATATGCCTCAGACAACTCTCGTAGCAATATGTTTACAGATACATCTCATAGGGCAAAGGAAACTAAGGAGAAAATAAATAAATGGCACTACATCAAAATAAAAAGCTTCTGCACAGCAAAAGAAACCGTCAACAAAAGGAAAAGGAAGCCCACTGTATGGGAGAACATATTTGCCAATGATACATCTGATAAAAGGTTAATATCCAAAATATAAAAGGAACTCATACAACTTAACAAAAGACAAACAAGCCAATTAAAAAATGGGCAAAGGACTTAAATAGACCTTCTCCAAAGTGAACATACAGATGGCCAAGAGACATGAAAAACTACTCAAAGTCATGATAATGAGGTATTACCTCCCACCTGTCAGAATGGCTACCATCAACAAATCAACAAATGACAAGTGCTGGCAAGGATGAGGAAAAAAGGGAACCCTAGTACACTGCTGGTGCGAATGCAGACTGGTGCAGCCACTGTGGAAAACAGTATGCAGGCTCCTCAAAAAATTAAATATAGCCCTAGCTGGTTTGGCTCAGTCAACAGAGCATCGGCCTGCGGACTGAAGGGTCCCAGGTTCGATTCCAGTCAAGGGCACATGCCCGGGTTGCAGGCTCTATCCCCAGTAGGGGGCATACAGGAGGCGGCCGATCAATGACTCTCTTTCCTCATTAATGTTTCTCTCTCTCTCTCTCCCTCTGAAATCAATCAATATATATATACTAGTAGCCCTGTGCACAAATCTGTGCGCCAGTAGCTCGCTGCTGCCCTCCAGTAGCTCTCCGCCTGCTGCCCCACCCTCCTGTAGCTCTCCCCGCCCCCGCCCCCACCCTCCCTCATAGCTTGCTGTAGGCAGATGTGGCTGGGCCAGTTCACTGGTCAAACCAACTGCTGAAAGCATCTGCAGACTTTTGTTCTCCGTTTCTCAGAGAGGAATCTTCCTGTCTAGGAAGCCAAGTTTGCAGAGTGAAGGGCAGATAGAAGCCCTGGAGTTCCATAGTTCAGTGTGTCAACTTTCACTTCATCACTAGCTTCCACATGGTGTCCTCACCCTCAACTGTGCCTACTGCCCCAGAACCCACAGTCTGTCCATTTTTTTCAGTCTTCCATGAAGGTAAGAAAGGCACACTTGCCTCTGTGAATGGGGTAGACATGAGATCTGGGGGCTACCTGCTTCTCATACAGACTTCCAACCAAACCTCCTGTGTCCTGTTATCACCTGCTCCCCTACTCTGAGGGGTATCTGGTGTCCCTAATTCTTGATCCTCTCTGGGGGTCAGAGATGCATTAGCCTGCTCTGGTGCTTCTCACATCACTGGCTTAGGAATTCACTGTGATTAAAAAGGCCGGTTTAAGCTGAAAACCAAGGAGAGAGAATAGAAATGGACAAAAGAAAAACCCATTCCAAGACAGATGATATTTTAATACAAATGAATATCGGTTACAACTAATATTTCTGCTGTCCATCTTCCAAAATCTGATTGATATTTTCTTCTCTCCCTTTTGAGTGCATTCCTATTTTACTCCTTGACTTTTACTTATAGTGGGGTTTCATGAGGAAGCAAATCTATAATAATAAAAGGGTAATATGCTAATTAGACCAGACATCTTCCAGATGTCTTTCCTGACCAAGCTGGGGTTGGAGGGAAGCCAGCCCGGGTCCCAGGTGCCAGAGGGAAGCCGGTTCCGGCAGCTGGGGGAAGGAAGGCCTACTCTTGCACAAACTTTCGGGCATCGGGCCTCTAGTGTTAACATATTTAATCAGTCACATTTTACTGAAGTTGCCACTAAAATTTTTGCAAAGGAGAAAAAGTATTAAAAATCAAATTTGAAGTATATTTCTCAAAAATTCATCTAATCTATTTTATAACTATGATTTTTTGTCAAAGATAATATATTATTTTAACCAACTTCATGAGGTCAGACACTATTTCTATTTTATTCATCATCATATTATCCAGTACCTAGCATAATAAGTGGTCAACAAATATTTGTTAAATAAGTAAATTGAGTGGACATAGATATGATTTAAAAATTGAGATCTTTAGATTTTATAGTTTTGGAACTTAACTAATTCACCTAGGCCTGCTTTAGCAATATTCCAAAAAGCAAGCAATCAGAAACGGAAACGCCTAATTTGGAACCCAATTATGATGTTTCAAACAAAGTCCTTTACAGCAAAAATTTTACTGTGATTCTGTATTCTGTACCAGTAATTTCTCAGATAGTAATGAATTGGCATTCATATTTACTTAGTTATCCCAAATAACTAGTAGTGTAAAAATATAATTTTTATTACAACTGCTACAAAAATATTTAATTACAGCTAATAGATGTACAATTTTAAATGTCATTAAATGTACTTGTAATATTGAACAAACTCTAATCAGTATTAAAAATGCAAAGTCCTCCATATTTAAAATCTGCAGATGAGCTATTACATTTTAGTTCATGTAAGAAGAAACACCACCACCAAACCCAGTAAGTTTATTAAAGAATTAAGTCTGGTAGAGTCTTCTCTTTCTTGTCAAATGAATTCAAAGGGCCATCACAACATGCCACGTCCTACTCTGGAATTACAATGTAATTGCATGTGCTTTGTTTCCTATTCTCTATTGGCTACCACCTAAGCCAGACCTAAAGGACCCAAAGGGTTATTTAAATTTTTTAGTTATATTTGATGGGGAAAGTTAAATGCATAGTTTTGTTTTGTTTTAAACTGGAGAATTATGATACACTCATCAAAGATTCACTGCAATTCTAACATGATGGTTCCATGGTAATTTTAAACTAAAAATCTTTATAGTCATCCATGCCAAATGCTCCTTGAGGCAAATCTGCACAAGGATCCATAATCCATATGGTACTATCCTGTTAAATGCTTACTCCATAGCTAATTTTTCATCACTGTTTATATTGTCATTACTAACTTTAAATTAAAATATCATACTCACTTCATCAGCCACAAACTCCTTACTCAGACCAAAATCTGTCAGCACCACATGGCCATTAGAATCAAGCAGAATATTCTCAAGCTTAATGTCACGGTATATAATCCCCAACTGTAAAAACAAATAAATATGCATTTAAAAATAACAATTTCCAAAAGTCTTTCTTATCTACCTTAAAAACAAACAAACAAAAATAAACAAACAAGGCATTCTCAGGATGTTATAATGGGTCTTAGTCACTGAAGAGGGCAAATGTAAGTCCCTCCATCTCGGGCTCATCTGCGGGGTTCCCCGGGCCCCTCCCACAGGTCTCCGTTCTCTGTGTAGTGAGGGTCCATGCCTGCTGGACCTTCTGTAGAGTCTCCCCGATGACCACTGCTGCTTCCTGTCTCTATTCTTGTCACAGCTCCCATCCTCACCCCAGGTGATGTGTGGGTGCTTCCATCCTCACCCCAGTGATGTGTAGGTGCCTTCTTGGCCAGTTCATGTCCTTTACCTCTCTAATGGCACCGGATCCCACAATGGTCACTCCTTTGTTTTTATTCCCACAGTTCTTCCAAATAAACTCCCATTTTTGTCTCTTCCTGGGAAAATCAGTGCTGGCAGCTATATCAAGACTAATAAAACTGGCTTTGTGTTATATACTTCTTTGTATTTACCTTTTTAGGGTAGGAAGATTAAGAGAAACCTTAGTGAGATCTGACCTGCTAGATTATTTCCACTCCATATCAAGTACATTTATATTCAGAATTCATCATGTTCTCTTATTTCTGTGTTTCTGATTACCCTGTTTTAATGATAATGAATGTTCATGGATTTTCCTTTCATAAACAAAATTAAAGCTTTCACACAAATTAAAAACTCAATTTACTAAGCTTTCCCCTCAGAGCTCTGTATTTTGTTAGTTTGTTAGTTTTCGCTCAGGAATTTATGGCCTTCTCCACCATCATTTTCATGCCATAAAAAACTACATCTAAAACTCCTAAACATAAAATAAAAAGGTATTTTCTGCCTATTCCTGGGCCTGATTTGGTTCATGTATAAAAAGATGTCCTTCGTGAAACTGCTCTATTTTGTGTGTATATAATATACCCCATTTTTAAGTGTTTAGGCACTAACTGAAACTTTATTTTCAGGGATAATTCGGAAGCCTTTTTAAAAACTTTGTAATAGCTAAAATACCTTGCTGAAAATTTACTATAAAAGTTTGCTTCGGTGCTACAGAATAACTCTCCCTCTTTTAATAAAATTCTTATCATTTGAGAGAGAGAGAAAAAAAGATGTCCTAACTACTGTATATCCCACAAAAATAATCGCAGGCATAAAGCTTGTCACCATACCAACAAGTCTATCAAAAGGAACAGAGATGTCAGCTCCCATCATCTCAGCTCAGCTCCCTCCCTCCTCGCTCCCCGTTACTCTCTCCAGGGCACTGCAGCCCTGCCCCTGGAGCCTTCTCTCTTTCCCCCCTATTCTTACATATTTTTCATTCACTCCCCTTAAGATTCCTATTCTGAACCCCATCTCCCTCCACCTGCCCAGCCTCATTTCTGTTCTGGGCCGGATGGGCTGGATCTACCTTTTTCTTGATTCCCTCACTTTTTTTCTTAAAACTCCTCATTTTTTCTCAGAGCCTCTACCATCCATTGCCTCCATCTTGCCATTCTAATCTCCCTGCCTCTTTAAAAATTCCCTCTTTGGTCCTGTCTTTTCCCTTCGATTCTCTTCATTCTTTCCTGTGGTCACCTGTAATGTAGTGTGGATATGAATACAAAACAAAGAAGAAGAGTGGCTTCATGGGGTGCCTACATCATCCTAACTCAGTGACTCAAGCTATGCCAGTCTCCTTGCAGCCTCACAGGCCTTTGGTAAAAATTGCTTTAGTGCTTTCTATTTCTGAGGCACATAATAACCGCTCCCACAATTCTTCCTCATTAAGTTAAAAAAAAAGTTTTTTTAGTCAAAGTTTCTTGGATGGAGATTAATAGTATCTGAAACAATGTTTTTAAAAGCTTAAACTAATTTTATAGAGTTCAAACTGCATCACAGACATGAATTTCATGGAATGTTTTTAGTAACTAAGTTCATGCTACATGAGGGCGGGAGGGAGGGCGTGAGAGGGGGTTTCAGAAACAAAACAATGAAAAAAACAAGCCAGGGTGGACAGTGAGGAAGCGGGGTAGCACAGGTAGATGCTTCTTTCAAATAACTCATCTTCTCCAACCTCAGCAGGAAATACACCGTGAAGATATAAAGGGAAGCGAGTCTCTACTAAGGAAATACGTATTATGACTTTGGCTTTATTGTAAAGGTTATTTTAAGAAGGGAAAAGTTATTGTGATAACTATGCATGATACCAGGCAGGTACTGGGAATATCGGGGGAATACTTTGTAAAGTATATTATTAGCTAATCACTATGCTATACACCTGAAACTAATACAAAATAATACTTAAGAATGAAAAATTTTATTTTGATGATACTTTGTAATAAGCATTAGGATTTTTCATTAAAAAAAAAAGACAGAATATTACTCAGGCTCTGCATTTTAAATCTGCATCACAGGAACTACTAAAGAAAGCAGATTTTAAAAAAGAGAACTATAGCCCGGCCAGTGGGGCTCAGTGGTTGAGCACCGACCTATAAATCAGGAGGTTATGGGTTCGATTCCTGGTCAGGGCACATGCCTGAGTTGGGATGTGGGCTCAACCACTATGGGGGACATGCAAGAGGCAGTTGATCAATGATTCTCTCTCATCATTGATGTTTCTATCTCTCTCTCCCTTTCCCTTCCTCTCTGAAATCAATACAAATATATTAAAAGAGAGAGAGAGAGAACTATAAAATTGAGAAACGAGGTTAACGGTCTACAAGTGTGCTTTCACAATCACCACAAAGACAATGACACGTAAAAACATTAGCTGTCTTAGCTCCATCATGACTTCGGTTAGTAGATTTTTCAAAGAGAGAAACCCCAAAGGTTGAGCATCTTACCTTGTGGAGATGTTCGAGGGCGAGCACAATCTCTCCAATATAGATCTGCACCTCGTGCTCTGTGAAACGCTCTCTTTGAGAAAGATGAGTAAAAAGTTCTCCACCATTTATATAATCTAAAAATGAAATATATTTTTCTTTCTTTGACTTGTGTTCATAAACTAATGAAAGTGTTTCCTTTTAATCAATATGGATTAACCACAAGGCACTGAGTTTAATATATGACTTTTGGTATAATTCTTAGTATACAGTTTCATAAGAATATATTACTAAATTCATATACAATACAGTTTCATAAGATAATGACTAGCCTGAACTACAATCAAATGAGTTTGCATAGAGTACTGCCATTAAAACTATTACACGAGTTCTACATATATTTAAATACAGCATATCAGAACCCTCAGCCATCACCAATGAGTACTGAAACAACTGCCACTTCAATGACTATAATAAAAAATGAACAGAACAAAACAAGACACAAAGAAAAATCCCAGCTTTCCTTTTAACAGTCACTATTTTTAAGCCAATTCCTTATTTTCCAAGATTTCCTATGCACCCTTCCAAAAATGTATAGTAGGTAGCAGATAGATAAACAATATGTCAATCTTTTTGGGAGAATGTGCCAAGCTAAAATGAACACTGACATATTTATGGCACCGAATTTCAGAGCGAATTTATTTCTTATAGGAGTGAACCCAGGGTTGTTCTCTCATTAAAGTACTTGGCCTTGCCTACAGGAGTATCTACACTCTTTTCTAAGAGGTTATCACCTTAATCTACCTGCCTCTTAAAGCAGAAGCATCTGAATTTGGAAACCTAGAAGAGCTATATTCTAAATTCTTGCCAGAGATTAGAACCTCAAAGTATCCGCAGTCCAAACCTCATCAAATGTTCAGTCATGAGAAATAATACATACATACATACAAAGGACAATATATGTAATCGATATGTCTTTCTGGATATGCCACAATGACTGGAGCAAAGTCAGAGCAGGAGAAAGCTACAACTCTAATGCTGTTTTGGAAAAATTATACTTTAATCTTGTTTCACAGGCTAGCATTACAGGGACAGTGGCATGAAACCTGGCATTAGTCTGGAAGGGCTGGTGAAAACTCCTTTATATCTGGGTCACAATGCCCTAAACTTGGGTTTTTAAGAAAATGTATCTTGGTATAATTTCATGCTTACAAAAATATTTGCAAAAACAGTACAAGAAACCTCCATATTCCCATTATGCAAATCTACCGATTGTTTATATTTTGCTTCACTTGCTTTAGAGGTCTCTCTGTTTTTACATATGTGCATATTTTTCCTTTGCTGTTGAAAGTAAACTAGAGACATCATGTTCCTATCCCTAAATCCTTCAGTGTGCATCTCCTAAGAAAAAGAACATCCTTTCATATAAACAGAGTACAACCATCCATGTCAAAAACGAACTATGATAAAAAAAAATCTAATTTATACTCCCTAGTCAAATTTTGTCATTTGCCCCAATGACTGCTCTTTGTAGCTACTTTTTTCCAGTGCAGGACCCATAGCTATCATAGCTCTTTAGTCTGGAACCCTCGGTCTTTCTTCCTTGATCTTGACATCTTGAAGAGGCTAGGCCAGTCATTCTGAGGGCCAACATTCAATTTGGGTTTTACCTAATGCTTTTTTATTATTAAATGCAGGTTATGTATTCTTGGAAGGACCATCAATGAAATGGTTATCACCTTAAATCTACCTGCCTATGAAAGCCGACCATCTGTCTTAGAATATATCAGGGAGCATGTAATGTTAATTTTTCGAATACTGGTGTTAATCCTGATCATGTCATTAATGTGGAGTCATTAAGGTGGTATTCGCCAGGTTTCTCCACTATGAAGTTACTATGTTTCCCTGTGTAATTAACTGGTAAATTGTGGGGAGACGAATTAAGACTGTGTAAAAATAGCCTGTTCTTCATCAAACTAGCACCCATCCATTTTAGAATCCAATGACAACTTTCTAACCCCACCACCCTTCTCTATGTTGGTTGGCATTCTCCCATAAGGAAGGGCTTCCCCTTCACCTCATTTATTGCACTTTCTGACTTGATCCCACAAGATGTTCCAGTTTCTTCTTGTACTTTTTTTAGGCTTCATTTTAATGCAGCCACCACTATGGATCACTATCTGCCATGGGTGGTACTCAACACTTCACATGTGTCAACATTCATGACAGAGACCTTAACCAAGACAGGAATAGGGAGGGCTTGTGGGAGGGGCTCTCACACCCTATGTCGGTTTCAAAGCCCTACAGAAGGGGTCCTCAAACTTTTTAAAGAGGGGGCCAGCTCACTGTCCCTCAGACTGTTGGAGGGCCAGACTATAGTTTAAAAAAAAAACTATGAACAAATTCCTATGCACACTGCACATACCTTATTTTGAAGTAAAAAAACAAAACGGGAACAAATACAATATTTGTATTTGCATGTGGCCCGCGGGCCGTAGTTTGAGGACCCCTGCCCTACAGGAAGAACTCCAAGGTTACAACAGAGCTGGATGGTTTTAACAGCCCCTCCCCTTCACTTTCTCTTCCCCTCAGAAAAGAACGCCCTTCTTGCTCTCTCTTCTTGCACTTGTCTTGCCCGGCTGCACATACCACACCGCAATCCTTTCTTTTCCCCCAATAAATACTTTCTGACAGAATAACTACTCAACACATGCATCGTCCCATTTAAGCCCAACGACTCCAGGCAGATGGGAAAGCAAAGGGTCAGAGAGAGTGAGTGACTTGTCTGTTAGGAGACACTGAAACCCAGAGTTGAACTCAAGCTAGTATTTAAGCACAGAACAGGGAAAGAAAACTACATGTTCACAGAAGAGTGAGGGGGTTACTCAGATTGGTTGGAGCACAGGCATCAGAGCATAACAGTGGGAGACTGGGTGAAAAAGGCAGAGGCTGGAGCTTAGATTATATCCTCAAGTAAAATGGGAGGCTCTAAGCAGTGGGGTGGCCCAATCATGGCTGTGTGTTAAGAAAAGTAATTAATTGTAATATAATTATGAACTGGAAAGGATCAAGAGAGGTCAAAAACTGAACAACGCACCCATCTCATTCTCTGCTATTGAAAATAATGACGCTTTCCTGACACACCAACGAGGTCAATATACATGGGCTGAGCTATGTAGAGAAATGAAGTCATGTTCTTCCAAATGCCAGCTATGAGACATTGGGTACCTCTCTTGACTCCCTGAGTCCAAGGTACCTCATTTGTAAAACAAAGATGGTAATACATGCCTTGAAGGGTTGCTTGCAAAGACTGAATGAAATATATAGAAAATGCCAAGAGTGGTGCCTGATAACAAACAAGTACTATAAAACTAAATATTACAATGACTTCATCTCAAACTCCTCTGTAGCTCTGGAGTCGGATTTTCTGGCCCTCAACCAACTTTACTTCATATTAACATTCTCATTCTTATAATAATTAGAACAATAATAAAAACAACAAGAAAACAATGCCACAAGAATCCCCCTTACACATGCATTCTGTTCACTTGGGCAAGTAGAGATTAGCAGGACAGAACCCTAAAACTGGATTGTTGAGTTACAACATATGTACATATCAAAACTGCTGCAATTTTTAATAAATGTTTTCTTCTAAATAGCTATAGCCATCTATATACCCCATCAACAGTGAATAAATGCCTTTTAAAAAATGTTTTCACCAACTCATTATCATTAACTTTCATTTTTACTAATCTGATAGGCGTTTCCAGGACACAGAAATTCTAAAGGTGCAAAAGAAAGAAGAGAGAAAGAAAATATATCAAGCAGTTGGACTTGATATATTTTCAGTGGAAGTAAAGACTTATTCTGTTCATAACTGAGGAACAGAAGGGGACCATTCATCAGTAGTCCACATTCATGACAACAATGATAAATAAACAAATAAATAAATCTGACGTGTTCTCAGAAGCTGTGAGGCACATTTCATCAATATGACTCTTCAAAAAAATTTATCAATTTATAATTATATTGAGATTTACTTACAGTCCATACAATGGAATACCTTACTATGATGCTTGCATAGACTACTGGTTTCTTGATTAAATTAAAATAAATGTTTTTGTTATATGAATAAAATGATTATATCTCAACTCTTTTGTATTTTGTTAAATGATCTTTAAACAGAGAATGGCTCATATCCTATATCTATAAAATCAACAGAAATAATTCCAACTGCCACGTAAGATTGTCAAAAGGATTAAATGACAATTTAATTGAGGGTTAATCCTGGGCCAGACAAACACTAAGCACTAATTACATGGTGACTATTAGCTATTATTATTGATAACTGCTGTAAATTTAGACATCAATTACAATTTATAGAATTGAAAAATATTGCTAAGTTCAATTGTAATGTTTTTAAAATAAAATTCAAATTTATGATATCCTGACTTAAGCTATTCTCTCAATATAAGCATAAATTTAAGGTTTTCTATAAAGCACTATTAGGGTCTAATTAGTTTTAGTCAGTATTAAGCTAAGGAAATTTTCTTATATAACTGATATTTCAGTGCAACACTCAAGAGATATCTGGTTTTTATTCAAGTGCAATTAACTTGCTTTTAAAGAATTTTATGTGACAGTAGCTGGAGTGCCAGATGCAGCACTCTGATGCTGTGTCTCTCAGAAGCATAAAAATAACACAGAAATCACACAAATAATGTGAAATTTCAAAAACACACTATCTCTCTGATTTTAAAACACTACCATCTTTCCTAAATCCAGCATGTCCCGTCCTTTCTTTCCTCTTCCTTTCATGGCAAAACGTCTTTAAAGAGTGGTCTGCACGTCTCATCTGATTACTCTTCTTGCTTACCCTCTGTTCACTTCCTATTGCTGCTGTGACAAATGACTACAAACTTGGTGGCTTAAAGCAACACAAATTTATCATTTTATGCTGTAGATTAGAAGTGTGACATGCATGTCACCAGGATAAAATCAGGGTGCAGCAGGCCGAAACCGGTTTGGCTCAGTGGATAGAGCGTCGGCCTGCGGACTGAAAGGTCCCAGGTTCGATTCCGGTCAAGGGCATGTACCTGGGTTGCGGGCACATCCCCAGTGGGAGATGTGCAGGAGG